CTAGTTTCATAGTATTAGAAATGTTCCACAGGGTTCGTAGTATGCCTGATACAGGTGGTAATTTACAGTATGTGGTAAAAAGCTACCTGAAATTCTTTGCATCTAATTGTTAGACTTGTCCCACCCTTGTGTGCTGTCCAGTTGATTTCTACTCATGGAGACCCTGTAGGAAAGAGTAGAACTGCCCCATAGGATTTCCAAGGCTGTGATCTTTATGGAAGCTGACTGATGGCACATCTTTTTTCCGTGTCCCACCCTTGCTCAGCTTTTTTTTCTTTCCTTTCAACTTCTATTGCTTTAGGCGCTACTGAGCCCTATGATTGCTAAATTAGAATACTGTACATTTTTATTTGGATATCATAAACTCAGCATATCCAAAACCATATTTAATTAAACCTAGCACTTAAACTGGTTGTCTTTTCTATTTCCTTGCTTGGCATCAGTTTACCTTCCATTTAATGGCTTTCATTGCCCACAAGATGAAAGCTTAACACTTTCAGCCTGACCCTGGAGGCCTTTCACAGTCTCACTCCCAACTACCATTCTAGTTCTTTGGTTTTATGAACCCTCTCTTTCAGCCACACTGGCTACCATATTCTAGATAAACACTGCACTATTCCATAACTTTGCTTTCACCATTCTGCCCACTGGTAATGTGTTTGTCAAAGGCAGATTGTATTTTAGGTTAAAAATGTATTTGTTTACTTTGAGAGTAGTTAAAATCTGTTAAATTAACCTTTCCTTTTTTGTCCAGGTAACATTTTAAACCTGGAAATATTGGTAAAACATGCATATTTAAGATGTAATTTCCAATGAAATTTGCTTATGGGGGAAGACCATCAAGTTGAGGGAGTAAGGAGAGGGATGTGATAGAATCTTTATAGTAAAGGGTTTTGTTTTTAAACTGAACGCAAATTTACAACTCTTTTACTGTCTGTGCTCTATAGGAAGCAACCATAAAAATGGCAGCTTTGTAATCTTTCACAGTAGAACTTGTTCTTTGGAATCCATATTTTAGTTCCCATACAGAGCAATAATGATGTTTCTTTCACTTGTTTGATTGTCTTGCACAATTTAAAAAAATCGATGAAAACAGTTTTTAAAACATATCTAATTAAAACAGCTGTTACGGAATTTTTAGGGAGAATTTTGTGAAATTGGTGTTTAAGTATCACATAATCCTCCTGTGCCTATTTCATGGTTATACCTAAATCCAGATACCTCAGTGGTTGAATTGCCTTACAAAGAATTTTAAGAGGCGGTCCATAACTTAAAATATTTTATTTCCACATTCAGTTCATATTAAAAATACTTGGCAAATTAAAACAAATAATGAATACATTGGAGATTTCTTATAGTTAATTGAAGTTTATGTTTAACTGAGTGATGTGAAAGTATTTTTACATGGTTGTTTTCAAAATACAGTAGTGTGTTTCTTTGTTTTGATATGGCATATGCTCATACATACTTTTTTGACTGAAGAATTTAATATGGAATGGCCATCATTCTGCACATTAGTTCTCATTGTGATTATGCCATAGATTCCCCATAGAATTGGACCGTCACCATAGAATCAGCCTGAAAGCTTTTAATGACATTCCATATAGATATTTGTTTTAAGTTACATATAAGGAAGGAGAAATGTCCTGGTTATTTGGATCCAAGATTTAAGAGGCTTTATAACAAATGAAATAATAAGTCGCAGTAAATTCAGAAATTAACATGATGAGTTTATAATTAAGCATGTCCCATACAACAGTCTCTTAAACAAAAAATTTTTTCCTTTGCAGTAATTTACAAAATCATTGCAAATCAAGAAGCTTATGGAATGAATTATTAATATTGAGCTTTTTGGTTTAAATTGCTGCTGATTAAGAATGGATTGTTGAGATAAATAAATGGTCATAGCAAAATGTAGCCCTGAGAAAGTTTCTACTGAGAAAATATGTCCATTTATATATGGATTTTAACTTTAGTGCTTTCACAAGTAATTTGCACCATCAGGTGACTTGTAAATATTTTTGTTAAATTTAGTCTATGCCATGTGAATGAGTTTATTGGGAGAGAATTTACGTATTTTGTATTCTGTCTTGGAAACAATTGGCTATTAAAACCACTTCTGCTTTATTAAGAGGGTAAGACACATTCATGTAAGCTTAAAAATTTGAACATGAGACTAATAAACTGTAGATAGGAATTTAAAAGGCTTAAAAGAAAGGTTCAATAAAATATTTAAATTTTTAAAAGTTTCAAATGCTGAAAAGATTGTCTATGGCTAACAAATCTTTTTTTTTCAGGGTATTTCAGAGCATTTTGTCTAAAATCTAACATGTTTAGTTATATAATATTAGAAATGAATATCGAAATATTTTAAGTTAGCATGCTTATTGACTCATATATCCATGCCTATAAATAGCTTTTTTTTTTTAGTGATAGAAAAAGTCCAAAACTATGTGTTCTGTTCTTAGCGTTAATACTAAAACATCAATTACTTAAGACTTTTAAACCAAAAGAACTGTTTTTTTAAATTCTAGGAACTTAACAGATTTTTTTTCCTAAGTGATTACCTGCTTTTCATGTGTCCGGAGATTTTTGATACTAAGTCTTCTATCATTCTGCTAGTGTAAAGAATTGAATAATTAAAAAAAAAAAGTACAGTAGTTAGAGGGTGACATTTTTGTACCTCATGAAACTTATTATTTATATTGTTATTACTCAATTGTCTGTTATGTGCTGCTCAGGTAGAAAGTTTAAATTTTGTAAAAGTGTGGTTTATAATGAGAATTTTGAATTTATGAGTGAATTTTACTTATCCTTTGTCTCAATGTAGATAAACAAGAAAATTTACAGTACTTTATAACTTTAGAGAGGATTGTCTTCTACTGGCACATCCAACTTCACAGACCCACATACCATAGTAATTATTATTCTCATTAACTACTTGTTTGCTAACTGCATATCTGGATCATCTCTGTGTCTCCTTTATGGATTATATAATCCCTTGATTATCACTTACCTTTTTTTAAAATTCTTTGCATGTATAGTCATGTTTGATTGTTCAGATGTTGTAAATAGTATTTATAGAGGCTCAGGATTGTGTTATCTTGCACAAAAGAGTATTGAGTTTGGGTCTTGGAAGCACTTAATTTATAGGTGTATTATCTTTATTCTGTCAAGGGTTAGTTTTAGGATTTGTTAGGTAGGTGTATTTCAGTTTTCCCGTTACTCCTAGGGCTTAAACCTTATTCCTAAAGACATAATCCTTATTCCTGGGGAATGGCCTTTCTAGGATTTTATGTGAAAGGTGAGAGTTTTTCACTCACCTACTCTGGCTGGGTCTGAACTCTGTCTCCCTAATGCAGTGCAGCCTGTGAAGTCTTGACTTAGCTGTTCAGTCTCACTTGGACATGCCAGTTTAGTAGTCAGCCAAGGACCTGTGGGGGGAGTTTTACATAGAACTTTGGGGCTCCCTTTGCATCTCACTTTTCTCTGGTACCCTGTTTCCGAAAGCCTACCTGCCTTGTCAGTCCCAAACTCTGTTCTCTGTTTTCTCTATCCATTGAGACTGCCACTCTGTTCTGGAGACTGTCATTAATTTTAAGCTAGCTAGGTAAGAAATGGCATTGATTAATTATTTGTTTGAAGACTTAAATTGACTGTGATAGAAAAAAGCTGGCAAAAATAATTGGTGATTTTAAGGCATAGACTAAACAAGACCCTTGCAGTGGAGTTGATTCTGACTCATAGTGATCCTATAGGATCCTGTACAATTTCCAAGGAACAGCTGGTGGATTCGAACTGCCAACCTTTTGGTTAGCAGTCGAGCTCTTAACCACTGTGCCACCGGGGCTCTTGGCATAGGCTACTGTGTGTAGGGTATTAACTATGTAGTCATTTAAATTTATTCAATTAATTGAGCAAATAATAAATTCTTATTAAGCACTGTGATAGACATTGGCAATAAAATTGTGAGCAGAATCAAGACTATTGTGAATCCCCCTGCCTGCCCCCACCACGTGTGACTTTATAGACTAGTAAAAAGAAGTTCCTGAACATTATGTAACATGTTCGTAAGAGAAAATAGTATTGATTGCTATCATTCATTTTAACCTATCTGTTCCGAGTCCTTTTAGATCGTACTTCGATTTACTTTTTATGCAGACATCTCTGAGTATTTTGTTGGTTCATTTTAAATCTGGTACCCAACTTCTTGTTGCAGTGCCATCACTTTTGTTAAAGCTTTTGATGGTTTTCCTTGGCTATGTTGTTTTCTTGAAACTAGTTTAATAATAGTGTGAAGAGCTACATGGAGGAATATGATGACCACCTGTCTTAGATTACTATTCCCAGATTTCTTATATTCTGACATTTTTAGATGAAAATATTACTTTATGCCTCGCATAAAAGAAGATTTAGGTTCAAGCCAGTACCTAGCTTCTTGCTTAGGGACAATTGAAAATAACAAAAGTTGCTGAGCTTTCACGTTACCATAGGGTAAGTAAATAGTATGACATGAAGGCATTGGCTTGATCATTTTGCAAAGCTTTTCTGGCTATCACGATATATAGTTAATATACTCTTCAAATTTTAGTCATACTTTTTTTTGTTGTTGTTGCTCTCTGATACCATAAACGGTACTTTAATAAGAAAGATAGCTGATTTTTCCAACTTTGTTGTATGATCTATGACTATCTTTCTGATATAAAAAATGTACAAGTGGGAAGTTAACTATATTTCTCTAAGTGTGTATATACACATATATATTCATATATATACACATATGTATATAAAAGAATATAAATTTGAGAAACCTTTGCTCTTAGAGACACATGCTAGAATGGTGAATGTGGTGCCTTTCATAGAGGTGAGTCTGTGGTCTGTTTTGTGTAATGACTGTGCTCTAATTCCTTCCCCTTAAAAAGATAATATTGGCTTACTGGTTTAGCTTTATTTATTGTTGTCATAGTTGTGTTAAGTAATGTTTTATTATTTTTTACTAGGAAACCAGCCCTACTCCTAATCCCCTGCCTACAGAAGAAGAGAAAACCGAATCTAATCAGGAGATTGCTAACCCAGAACACTATATTAAACATCCACTACAGAACAGGTAAGCCTTTTTGCCCTACCTTAACATGTTAAAAAGTCAGTAAAATGTCATTCCCTTTGATTATTAATATAACCCCTTGCCATCGAGTTGATTCTGACTCATAGTGACCATATAGGACAGAATAGAACTGCTCCATAGCATTTTCAGGGAGCAGTTGGTGGATTCCAGCTGCTGACCTTTTGGTTAGCAGTCATAGATAGCTCTTAACCACTGTGCCGCCAGGGCTCCGGTTATTAGTATAGGGGTAAAAAAGTCTTTTAAGAATTTTTGGTATTTATACTTTAAAGCATAAATGAGTCACTGGCTTGTTTGAATTTCAACTGACTTAATTCTTCTTTATGTAGCACGCATAATCTGTATGTCCGTGAGCACCTACTTTACCAGTTGCTATGCCAGGTGCTGGGAACACAGTAGTCACCAAAGATACAGACTGGGCCCTAAAAAGAGCTCACACTCAGATGGGAGAGACAGTTAAATAAAAAGTGCATGATGTACTTAGAGAAGAAGTACTTAAACCAGTTAAGGTCATAGAAGAGGTGGTGCTCAGAGAGTTCGATGCCAGGGCAGGTTTCCTGGAAGACATAAGGGCTAAGCTGGACTCTGAAGGACAGGTGTGGATTAACTAGGTGAATGATAAAGTGTAGGAGAGCATTTCATGTTTTCAAAGGGGAGAGTAAAGTATGGAGTGTTATGAGACTCCATGGTTCAATATGTAAGAACTATGTTGTTGTCGTGTGCCATCAAGTTGATTCTGACTCAGAGCAACCCTATATGACAAAGTAGAACTGCCCCATAGGGTTTCCCAGGCTGTAACCTTTATGAGAGCAGATTGCCAAGTCTTTTCTCCTCCAGAGTGGCTGGATGTGTTCAAACCTCCTACCTGTCTGTTCGCAGCCAAGCACTTAATCATTTCGTCACCAGGGCTCCTCGTAAGGACCATGCAAAAAAACAGACCTGTTGCTGTTGTCAATTCCAGCTCATAGTGACCCCTGTAGGTTATAGGAAATAGAGGGAGAATGGTGAGAGGAAGATTATGGTATAGAAATGACGGTGGAAATTATGCCTGGTTGGAGTTTGAGCCATATTCATGATGGAATGTAGAGCCTTTGAAGAGTTCTATATTAATGAAGGGATTTTAGTTTTTAGTTTAGAATGATCATTCTTAAAGTGGAGAATGGATTGGAATCAGAGGAAATAGTTTGGAGGCTTTTTGAGTATTCTAGGCAAAGGATGATGGTGATCTGAACTAAAGTGGTGATGGTAGTAGTGGAGAAAAGAAAGTTCAGAGATATTTAGGAGGAAGAAATGACTCCCTCCTTAATTTGGTGATTGAATGTGAAGGGCAGAGTATCAGAGGTGAAACCTAAGTATTCTGAGTTAGGCATCAGGTAAATGGTTATAGAATAGGTTTGGAGGGATATGTTGGATGCTAGTTTTAGATACGAAGATTGAGGATTGTATTTTCACTTGGATGACCCATGTGTAGCAAGCAGTTGGATGTGAGTCTTGAGCTTAGAAAGGAGAACTGGGGAAGAGATTGGTTTGAAAGTCGTGAGTATATTGGTGGTATTCAAAGCCACAGTAGTGAATGAGACTTCTCTTAAAAGTGAAGTTGACTCAGGACAGAGGCCTGGGACACCAGCATTTAGGAAGTTTATATTGAAGAAGAATGCCTGTGAATGATAGAAACATATAAACTAGGAGAGAGTGGTGTTCCTGAAAGCCAAGAAAATGGTTTCTTTTTTTAAAAATTTTTTCCCCATACAAAAATTTATACATACATTGTTATGTGACCCTAATTGCTCTCCCCCATATTGTGTCAGCACACTCCTCCTTTCCACTCCTGATTCCTCATGTCCATTCAACCAGCTCCTAACCCTCTGTGCCTTCCCATCACACCTCCAGACAGAAGCTGCCCGTTTAGTCTCTTGTATCTCCTTGAGCTAAGAGGCACCCTCCTCACGAGTATCACTTTGTGTCCCACAGTCCAGTCCAATCCCTGTCTAAGAGTTGGCCTTGGAAATTGTTTTAGTTCTGGCCTGATAGAGTATCCACGGGCCATGCTTTCCAGGGTTCCTCCAGTCTCATTCAGACCATTAAGTCTGGTCTTCTTACTAGCATTTGAGTTCTGCACCCCACCTTTCTCCTCTCCATCCAGGACTCTCTGTTGTGTTCCCTGTCAGGGCCGTCATTGGTGGTAGCTGGGCACCATCTAGTTCTTCTGGTCTCAGGCTGATGAAGTCTCTGGTTTGTATGGCCCTTTCTGTGTCTTGGGCTAATACTTTCCTTGTGTCTTTGGTGTTCTTCATTCTTCTTTACTCCAGGAGGTTGGGACCAACTGATGCATCTTGAATGGCCACTTGCAAGCTTTTAAGACCCCAGACACCACTCACCAAAGTAGGATGCAGAACATTTTCCTAATAAGCTTTGTTATGCCACTTGTCCTAGATGTCCCCTGAAAGCATGGTCCCCAGACTCCTACCCCTGCTACTCTGTCCCTCAAAGTGTTTGATTGTATTCAGGAAACTTCTTAGGTTTGGTTTAGTTCAGTTGTGCTGACTTCCCCTGTAGTGTGTGCTGTCCTTCCCTTCACCTAAGATAATTATTTACTATCTAGTTAGTAAATAACCCTCACCCTCCCTTCCCACCCTCGTAACCATCCAAGAATGTTTTCTTCTGTGTTTAAACCTTGTCTTGAGTTCTTATAATAGTGGTCTTATACAATATTTGTCCTTCTGTGACTGACTAAATTCACTCAGCATAGTGACCTCCAGCTTCCTCCATGTTATGTTTCACGGCTTCATCGTTGTTCTTTATCATTGCATAGTATTCCATTGTGTGGATATACCATAATTTGTTTATCCATTCGTCAGTTGATGGGCACCTAGGTTGTTTCCATCTTTTTGCTGTTGTGAACAGTGCTGCAGTGAACGTAGGTGTGCATATATCTATTCGTGTGACAGCTCTTATTTCTCTAGGGTATATTCCAAGGAGCGGGATAGCTGGATTGTATGGTACTTCTATTTCTAGCTTTTTAAGGAAGCACCAGATCGATTTCCAAAGTGATTGTACCCTTTTACATTCCCACCAACAGTGTGTAAGTGTTCCATCTCTCCACAGCCTCTCCAGCAGAAAATGGTTTCTTTTAAGACCGACACAGTAGTCAACAAAAAGATTAATGAATCTTCTGAGAAGGGATTCCTGAAAAGTGTCCTCATCAGGGAACATTGTGAGAACTATAAGAAAGATTTAATGAATAGGGTACAGTATATAAAGTAAAAGTTCTCTACTTCCCTGAAATACCCTCTCCCATTTTGTCTTTACTCCTCAATGTAGTCAATGTTATATTTAGTTTGTATTCTTCCAGAAGTTTTAAATGTGTGTATATATATTATACAAAATGACCGAACTATTGACTTTTGTTTGTATATGCAGATTTTGCCTCATTATTTTCAACTACTGCATAGTATTATACAAATGTACTCATGAATTTTAGCAGCTTACATTAATGAGTGTATAGCTTTTTTCATATTAACAAATAATGCTGCATTATGCATCCTTATTATTTGTGCACTTTGTGAGTATATTTATAGGGTAAGTTTCAGACTTTCTGGATCAAAGACTACCCTTTAACAATTTTTGTAGATATCCTTCTTCACCACATCCTTGCTAACCATTATCGTCAGTCTTTTAAATTATTGCGTATCTGATCAGTCTCAATTTGATTGGCAAAAATAATGTCTTACTGGTCTTAGTTTGCATTTCTTTTATTGAGGTTTTAAAACATTTTATATTAATAATTTTTTTTTTTTTCTGTGAAGAGTCTGTTCAGTTCTTTTGTCCATGTTTTTGGGTTATTTTTTCAAGTTTATTTCCAATCATTATCTGTTGGGGATGCTGGGTGTTCCAAACGATTAACTCACTCAGCTGCTAACTGAAAGGTTGGAGATTCATACCACCCGGAGGTGCCTCAGAAGAAAGACGTGGTGATCTACTTCTAAAAAATCAGCCATTGAAAACCCTGTGGAGCACAGTTCTGTTCTCTTGGGTTCACTGTGAGTCAGAATCAACTGGATGGCAACTTTTGTTTGTTTTTGTTGACCCACCCAAGGAGGGGTTATGTTTCAGATAGGTTATCCAAATCATTTGTCTTTTAATATTGTTTATGGAATTATATACTTTTTAGAGGTTTTAAATTTTCCAGTAGTGAAATACTCCTTTTCTTCCATGGCTACTGGGTTTCATGTCATTTTTAGGAAAACTTTACCTCCACAATTACCTTTTTTGTTTTCTTTCTTGGGCAGAATCTCAGAACCAAGAAAAAAAATACTATTTTTTATTTTATTTTTATTGTGCTTTAGGTGAAAGTTTGCAGAGCAAATTAGTTTTTCATCAATTGTTTAATGTTTTGTGACGTTGGTTGCCAATCCCATGTGTCAGCACTCTCCCCTTCTTGACCCTGGGTTCTCTGTTTCCATTCGTCCAGCTTTTCTGTCCCCTCTTGCTTTCTCATCGTTGCCCCCTGGGCTGGTGGGCCCATTTAGTCTCGTATACATGATTGAGCTGCGTGTATTATCGTTTGTTTTATGGGCCTGTCTAATCTTTGGTTGAAGGGTGAACCTCAGGGGTGACTTCAATACTGAGTTAAAAGGGCTTCCGGGGAGGGCCATACTCTCAGGGGTTTCTCCAGTCTCCATCAGACCAGTAATCACATAGTATTCTCTTGTACAGATGTACTATATTTTATTTACATCAGCTGTTCTCAGACTTTTGGTGTCACAACCCCTTTACACTCTTAAAAATTAAGAACTTGAGAGCTTTATGTGGATTTTATCTATCACTGTTTACTATATTAGAAAATAAACCGAGAATTTAAAAAGATTATTTACATATTTGTTTAAAAATCCACTGTCTGTTAATATAAATAACATTTTTCATGAAAAAATTTTTCTTGAGCAGAAGAAGACATATATATACCTATAGTGAGAAGAGGACATCATTTCCAGTTTTACAAATCTTTTTAAGTTCTAGGCTTAATAGAAATCCAGCTAGATTTTGGATTTCAGAGCTCCTTTTCCATTCAGTCTGGTGATATGTTGTTTTGGTGAAATATGAGAAGAAAATCTGACATCATACAGATAATGCAGTTGGAAAATGGAGAATTTTTTAATAGCCTTTTAAAATAATTATGGATATTCTCCAGTTTCTTAAAGATTAATTGCATTGTGGAATCTGAAACTATATCCAAAACCTTTTCCTCCTTTGTTACATTAAAATTTGTCAGCCTATCTTATATTTGGAATGGGTCTTTTACCCGTACATGATTTTGTAACATAAATTGGTCTTTTGGAAAATACTGGTTCAGTGAATTACGCTGATCTTTCAAATGTTGAAAGAGATCATTATATAATATCAAGAAATAACATTCATTAATATTACCACTAAATTCATCAGAGATTTTTTTAACTATTAGGAAGCTGTCAAGCTCACCATGGTAAATGCAGACATACCAAAATTCTGATTTTCTTCTGATAGGCAATAGGCTTACTTAGTTCATTTTTCAGTAAATAGCCTTGGATTATCAATCATTCTTTCAAGTAAAAATGATCCATGAAAAAAGCCGCTGGTTCCCCTTCGCAATTCAAAAATTTGTATAACTATTGTATATTGGAATTGATAGCAGTAGAAGTATTTTTCATGCAGAATATGAAAAAGACTTGGGCACATGATTGAAATGTAATTATACTAATAATTTGACTGCTTCTTTTTTTTTCAATTGTACTTCAGGTGAAGGTTTACAGAACAAATAGTTTCTCATTAGTCATTACACATATTGTTTTATGACATTGGTTAACAACCCCAAGACATGTCCACCCTCTCCCTTTTCGACCTTTTTTTTTGGTGAAAATATACATAGCCAAAGATAAACAATTTCAGGAATTTCTACTTGTGCAGTTTCAGTGACATCGATTACATTCTTCCACTTGTGCTGCTATTCTCACTTTAGATGAAGGTTTACAGAACAAAATAGTTTCTCATTGAACAGTTAGTACACATGTTGCCCTATGACAATGGTTAGCAACCCCACTACATGTCCACACTTTCCTTACTCAACCTTGGGTTCCCTATCACCAGCATTCCTGTCCCTTTCTGCCTTCTAGTCCTTGTCCCTGGAGTGCTGTGCCTCATTAGTCCCATTTTGTTTTATGGGGCTGTCCAATCCCCGGCTGAATGGTGAACCTTGGAAGTGACTTCACCACTGAGCTAAAAGGGTGTCTGGGGGCCATACTCTCGGCGTTTCTCAGTCTCTTTCAGGCCAGTAAATCAAGTCTTTTTGTGTGTGTGTTAGAATTTTGTTCTGCATCCTTCTCCAGCTCTGTCCAGAACCTTCTGTTGTGATCCCAGTCAGAGCAGTCAGTGGTGGTAGCCGGGCACCATTAGCTGTACTGGACTCAGTCTGGAGGAAGCCTTGGTAGCTGTAGTCCATTAGTCCTTTGGACTGATCTTTTTCTTGTATCCTGTTTTCTTCATTTTCCCACCAGGGGCATTCTTAAGTGAAACTGATGTGTTATCTGAAAGTTAATGATGGTAGAGGATACAGCGACTTTAGTTTACTTTGGTGCCCCTTTCTTGTTTCTTGCTAAGGCACCAACAGATTTACCCACCATTACTTTTTTACTGTTAGTGTGAATGTCAACAGAGTTAAAAATAAAGTAACGTCTTTGCACTGTTATATAAATAGTTTTTACCTCTCAGAGCTCCTGAAAGGATCTTGGGGTATGCAAACCATACTTTGAGAATACTGAGTTAAATAATTCTTTGTTGACAGGCTTTTGGACTATTTCCAAATTTTCCAAAATTCAGATCTTTGTGCAAACATTTTTCCTCAGTCACTCAGTTATTAGCATAGGACAAATTTTTACTGTTTAATTGATGGTTGCAGTTTTTTATAAAATGACTGAATTATTTTTGAAAATTCAGAATATGCTACTTGATTTTGTTTTAATAGTTCTCCCTCTTTTCCTTTTTTTTTGGTAATGTATATATAATGGTTGGCAAATGCAGACAGATTAGCAGATAGATACTGAAATGCATCTCCTTATCTCTAACTGGGTGACATTAATCATAAAGTTATGAAATATGTGTCCGCTTCGAAATGTCTTTAGACAGCATCTTTATCAATAAGAAAATGGAATTTCCCATTAACATGCCTTTGGAATAGTAATTTAGAGAATGTTGAACTTAATTCTAGTAAAGATATCTTGGGATGATAACATTTAAGTCTAACTGATGATATTATATGAGTTTATCTTCGAAGTGTTAGCATAAAAAATCTAACAGAAGTATATACAGATATCTAGAAATTGTCATACGTCTTTTCAGAATTTAACTGTGGCAGCATTACTCAGTGAATCCCTTTATTGAATTTTATTACTCTCCCATTTGAAGGTTTGAGTAAACATAGAATCACATTTAATAGTTTCCCCCTGTTTAACATTCCCATCTCTCCCTCTTAACAGACTACCTTTTTATTGCTCTGAAAGCTCAGCTTTCCTGTTCCTCATCTTCTTATCTGATTAAGTGCCTCTGCTTTGCTTTCTTAAATTAAGTAACCTATCTTTGATTATTCTCTGTTATAGCATTTAATACACTGTAATCATCTCTCTACTGCATTTCTGTGAATTCCACTGAGGGATGAGCTTCTGTGCGTCTACAGAAAATCTCTTATGTGTAGTAGGCACAAAATCCATACTTTTTAAATGAAAGAAATCAAGAAATTACTCATTCACCACTGTAACACAACTATTTTTTGACACTTTTTTTTTTTTTTTTTCAGATGGGCACTCTGGTTTTTTAAAAATGATAAAAGCAAAACTTGGCAAGCAAACCTTCGGCTCATCTCTAAGTTTGATACTGTTGAAGATTTTTGGGCGTAAGTAACTATTTACTTTGGGATGTTTGTTGTTTTATCAGTTGTGTAGTTTTCACTTTTAATGGTATAATTTCTGTGTGTTAATACTTGCGAGACTGTATCTGTCATTAATTAAAGCTACCTTGTAAGTCACATTCATAAAACGAAGCATGATAGTGGATAGTTTACGACTATTCTCTATAGAACTACTTTTTTGCTTGTCCATCTCCTCACAGCTATTTGAATTGGTAATTATTCTTCATCAGTTTTAGAAGCTTCAATTTACCATCCTTTAGCTCTGACTATCCTCTATTCCTTGTTCCTAAAATATCCTTCCACCACTTGTCAGTTTGTCGTACTGTGGAGGCTTGTTGGTGCTGTAAGCTATGCCACTGAGATTTGAAATGCCAGCAGGGTCACTCATGATGGACAGGTTTCAGTGGAGCTTCCAGACTAAGACAGACTGGGAGGAAGGACTTGGTGATCTACTTCTGAAAAAGTTGGCAAATGAAAACCTTATGAATAGCGGTGGAACATTATAAAATACAACCTTGAGTATATCCCACCTGAGTTTAGAGACCATCTCAAGAATAGATTTCATGCATTGAACACTAGTGACCAAAGACTAGACGAGTTGTGGGACGACATCAAGGACATCATACATGAAAAAGCAAAAGGTCATTAAAAAGACAGGAAAGAAAGAAAAGACCAACGTGGATGTCAGAGAAGACTCTGAAACTTGCTCTTGAACGCAGAGTAGCGGAAGGGAATGGAAGAAATGATGAAGTAAGAGAGTTGAACAGAAGATTTCAAAGGGTGGCTCGAGAAGACAAAGTAAAGTATTATAATGAAATATGCAAAGACCTAAATAAAGTTAGAAAACCAAACGGAAAGAACATGTTCAGTATTTCTCAAGCTGAAAGAATGAAGAAAAAATTCAAGCTTTGAGTTGCAGTATTGAAGGATTCTCTGGGCAGAATATTGAACGATGCAGGAAGCATCAAAAGAAGATGAAAGAAATATACAGTCACTGTACCAAACAGAATTGGTTGACATTCAGTTATTTCAGGAGGTAGCATATGATCAAGAACTGATGATACTGAAGGAGGAAGTCAAAGCTACACTGAAGGCATTGGCGAAAAATAAGGCTTCAGGAATTGATGGAGTACCAGTTGAGATGTTTCAACAAACAGATGAAGCACGGGAAGCGTACACTCATCTATGCCAAGAAATTTGGAAGACAGCTACCTGGTCAACCGACTGGAAAAGATTCATATTTGTGTCCATTCCAAAGAAAGGTGACTGAACAAAATGTGGAAAGTATCAAACAATGTCATTATGACCACATGCAAGTAAAATTAGCTTTAAGATATTTCAAAAATACCTTGCAACAGTACATTGTCAAGGAACTGCCAGAAATTCAAGCTGGATTCAGAAGAGGAGCCGGAACCAGGGATATCATTGCTGATGTCAGACGGATTTTGGCTGAAAGCAGAGGATATCAGAAAGATGTTCACCTGTGTTTTATTGACTATGCAGAGGCATTCAATTGTGTGGATCATAACAAATTATGAATAACATTGTGAAGAATGGGAACTCCAGAACACTTAATTGTCCTCATGAGGAACCTGTACTTAGACCAAAGGGCAGTCATTTGACAGAAGGGGATACTATGTGGTTTAAAATCAGGAAAGGTGTGTATCAGGGTTGTATCCTTTCACCATACTTATTCAGTCTGTATGCTGAGCAAATAATCTGAGAAACTGGGCTATATGAAGAAGAACGAGGCATCAGGATTGGTGGTCAAGACTCATTAACAACCTGCGATATGCAGATGATACAGCCTTGCTTGCTGAAAGTGAAGAGAACTCGAAGCGCTTACTGATGAACAGAGACTACAGCCTTAAGTATGGATTATACCTTAACATAAAGAACATCATGATAAATGGAGAAGAGATTGAAGTTGTCAAGGATTTCATTTTACTTGTATCCACAGGCAGCGCCCATGGAAGCAATAGTCAGGAAATCAAAGGATGTATTGCATTGGACAAATCTGCTTTAAAACACCTCTTTTTTTATTTGCTTTTTTGTCAGTTGACAACTTTTCAAGGTCTTTCATTTCTCAACTGTCTACAATTTAATGAGAAAATTGACAAATAACATGACAGTATCTGCTCCATTTTAACATCTGCATTAATGTTCTTCCTTTCTGGAGTATTTCTCTGTTAGAATATTTCCCTTGGGTATGATTATCTTTGCAAATACTTTTTATTATAATCTTCAAAGCTGTTTATGAACAATAAACTAATTCTGTATTTGGCTGTACTTCAGTGTGCTCTCTTTTTTTTAATTTTATTTTTTCCCATACAAAAATTTATACATTGTTATGTGACCCTAATTGCTCTCCCCATACTGTGACAGTACACTCCTCCTTTCCACCCCTGTTTCCCCATGTCCTTTCAACCAGCTCCTAACCCTCTGTGCCTTCCCATCTCACCTCTGGACAGAAGCTGCCCATTTACTCTCTTGTATCTACTTGACCTAAGGGGCACTCTCCTCACGAGTATCACTTTATGTCCCACAGTCCAGTCCAATCCCTGTCTGAAGAGTTGGCCTTGGAAATTGTTTTAGTTCTGGGCTGATAGAGAATCCAGGAGCCATGCTTTCCAGGGTTCCTCCAGTCTTATTCAGACCATTAAGTCTGGTCT